AATAAATATTAAAATTTGAATCTACCAGTATTGTTTTTTTGCTTATGTTTGAAGCAATTGAGACTAATGAATGTCATTTTCGTATTTTCTATTTAATGAAATGCATAATTAATATATAAAGTTCGCATTTACGTACGAAGAAGTAAGGGCAGTAGACTTGGTAAAGATGCGAATGTAGTGAATTGTTGAACAATTCGAAACAGATCGTGTGTCAGCGGTCGGAGGGCTTCAGGGCATGATCACTGCTCTATAAGCGCAGGCGCACGATCGCCTGTGGCCTCCGGCGACAAACTCATAGCTCCGATATTGTTACAATCATACAAACCACAAATATAACAGCAACACAATTAAATCAATCCTCATTGAGGCGCGGGGCTTCCTGGCAAACAATCCTCGCCAAAAAAATGGTAAAATCACAAATAACACGTTCTGTAGGTGAAAGTACGTTTTAGAGAGTAAAACTCAAACCGATTTCGGATCGACCTTTCCCATTGTCCATGTTGTGAAAAAAAGCCGATCGACATAACCGTAATCTAACGAGGCAATTAGTAATTTCCAACCGAATAATTTAGGTTATAATATTTTATCTACCTATCGCCGTTTTGAACCTAGCTCATTTGGATAATAAATAACCTTCGTGATACTATCGTTGTCAGTTTCTCTGAATTCGCTCTCAGATTTTGGTTGCATTGCAAAGAAGAAGTTAGCCCCACTAATCTTTTATCGTGATGTTGGGCAAACTTTAAGCGTTCAAATGTCCATCAACGGAACTCCACATTATCTCCGATATAATATTAAAAAAACAAAGCGAAATTAGTTCTTAGGTCATTAGTATGAAGCAATAGGATTCAATGATAAAGATATAGGAACAATATTATGACGAAACTTAATTACGTATTTCATCTAAATGTCCGTCTAAGGTGTCCGAATGTAATTACCAAAAGTCAGAACGGTACCGCCCATGAGTGCTCTCACGCGCCACGAGGTCACCATCCCCGGCAACCTGCCCAGAAAAGTAAATTACAGAACTACACTCCGTAAACTGCTTTCCGACTATTATCTTTATTATAGGTTTGTAATGTGCTGGCTCACTTGTTAGTATTGATCTAAAACGTCCACGTTTTGGGAACGTTTACGGATAATTCACCGTTTGTTCGCGCGCTGTGGCGATTTGAAGCTTCTTAGGGCCCAATCGAGCGCGATCGTTTAGTCGAGATCGGTAATCTCACATAAAGCAAATGTTCCAAACGGACGGAGCGCGTAACTCCGGTGGAGTGACAAGACAATAATTGCACCAGACGATCGCTTGGCCCACAACGCGCTGCGTATGTCTTCCAAGACAAATTTACGTTAGCTCTGATGAAAGGCGAACAGCATTTGAAATTTACTTAAATAGACGGCCATAATAAAACTTCATTAGTTAATGCCGGTGGGGAATTCGGAAAAATGACAATAATTGTACTTTTACATGTTTTTGTATTTATAGTATAGATGTTTAAATGAATTTAACGTTTTAGTATATTAAAACATTGTACAACAAAGTATGTAAACTACTTAGTCATGGCACTACTTTTATTTTTTGTACGAACATTTCCTGTGTGCTTTGACGTATGACTGGCAAGTCTCTACAATCTTTATCTATATACTAATACGTGAAGCAATAACTTTGTACTCCATTTTACGAAAGTTGCGTGGACGGATGAGTATGAAATTTCCCACATTTATACACGACCCCTAGTACATATATTTCTTCTGTGCATATGTATGTCACTGAACTCCTCCTAAACGGCCGGAACGATTTAGATAAAAAAATTATGTGTGTTCAAGTCGATTCGGAAATGGTTTAGGATCACAATTCGGTTCACTATAAAATGTTTTTGGAATTATTTTTTTATATATAAGTTATGTCAAATTTAAGACGTGTATACAGGACAAAGTCTGTCGGGTGCGCTGGTATATAATATATATAAGTGTATAATGCTCGTTCTTTAAGCGCGCATAGAGGCAACAGATTTGCGATTTGCGAATGTTTTTCTTGCACAGAGAGGATGTTTGCTTTTTGTGACCGATATCCAACAGATTTTTGTAATGCTCAAAAAAAGCGAAAGGTTCCTTGTTAAATGAATATACACAGCTAATGTATATATAAACTCATGTAATAAAGTTCGTGTCACTTTTTTTATAATAAAATATTACTCGGCCTGGCTTAGTACGGGTAAGCAAATCTCAGTAACGTCGTATTACCTATATCGCAATTTAAATTCTAAATTTTAAAATAAACATGGGCTTTTTAAGAATAAACATTTAAAATAAAATTATGTCACTGGCTACGAGATCTGAGACATCTGGCATGATGAGCTGGCTGGTAACTCTGTGTTTGACTTAGATCTAGAAATCTTGAAATTTCCAACTTAATAAATAAAGCCCAATATTATATTATAAATGACTTGGCGGTGTAGTTGGTAAGCATATGTTGGTACACAGTATTTGTGTATTCTACAGATAATTTTTCTGGATCGCGTTTCATAATCCTAATGAGGGTTGACGTCAGGTAAGTGTCGGGTCGTCAAAATATAGCTATGACGTGTTAATTATATTCATATATTGTAGATGTTTGTTATGCCTTATAAAATAAAATAAAATAATTGGTGTTTTAATGGAGTTAAATGTGAATACTAAACAAAGTGTAAATTTATATTTCTATAAGTGAAAATTTCAGTAAAGAGGTTTTCCCATAATTATTTCTTTTCAGTTTATAGAAATATAATATAAAGAAAGGTCATTGTTACGAACCAATTAATGATAAAGACGGAAATTTCTCTGAAGACGGTCCCATGTTAGAGGGCGTAGAGTAGGACGTCCTCCCACGAAATAGAGCAACGACCTACGCAAGTCTTCCGGTACTCAGTAGATGCAGGTGCCTAAAGATCGTATGATTTGCTAATGTTATACAATCTGAAATAAATATGGCCGATGATAGTGGTGACAAACTTTGATATTAAGAAATATACTTAAGCGTACAACTTATTAAAAAACAGTCGATAAAAAAACACGTTGTCCATAAGACCAAATTCTACTACCAAAGACTCTAAAAATCTGCAGTCAATGCACTCGATGTGATTTGGATATACATTCTTGTCTCGAGCGTAGAGCCTCTTTAGACCTCCCATCAATTAGAGCGAGCATTTAATCGGATAATAGCGACAGATAGCTAATAATCTCGAGACCGTTCAAAGATTCGAGCATTATAAAATAATACGCTCTGTATCGTATTTGATATGGGCGGCTTTAATGGGATACCCAAAAAGTTGAAAATTACTTTTTTGCCCTATACGAACTTGATCTAATAATTATTTGAATAATCACTAATATTCTCATCACCGTCTCATATCAAAATCATTAGGTCAATTTATGAAACAATAAGTTATTTTTTTTAAAACGCAAGTTTTAACATTACCCATGTATGCTTAACGCGGGAATCTTAAAAAACCCGTGGGTTCTGGCTAAACCCGTGGGTTCGGGTCAAACCCGAGGGTACTCATAGCCCACCGGTTCTGCGTCAAATGAAGCTTTAATAGTCTCGGGACTGAAAGCAAAAACATCAGTTAATACAAGATACAAGGGAATGTTAATACGAAATAAGCCACTAAAGCAGACTCTACAAGGCAACTCGTAATGGCATCTTAATAAAGTAAATCCATTTAGTTTTTAGATCGTAGCTTAAAACATCACGACATTGTCCCGGCTTTAAAGTAGATGGTATCGCGTGAGCAGCCAGCGCGGAGCGGCGACAACCAAGCGCAATCACTAATTGAATCGGTCGCTAGTCATTGCTACCAGAACTACTTCCACGGTATCACTTTCGGTTGACGAAATTATGATTTCTTCCACGTTATCGCCCGCTTGATTCTAAAGAATCCCCGATGAAAACGCGATAACTGGTCAGAGCATCGTCACAGTAGAGTGGAGAGATATGTATTTTATTATTTAATAATTCAAAATGATATAATAATCGAAAATGTTCATTTACAGCTAATTCAAAATATAACGTCTACATCCCTTGAAAAAGCAGTAGTTAGATAGAAAGTAAGTACGATAATAAATATTACATTGTTTTTTCAGCACCTCATGCACATCTTTAAAGCTTATTAAACGCTACGACGGTCAACTAGTGCTCAGCTGGAACGGATCATCATCATCTTGTAAAATTGGAAACAACTATCCCCAGAATCACTCTGCTAAGTTGTAACCACAAACAATCGCTGTCATCCTAGTGGATTCCATTGTCGTTTACGGCATAACCATCACACACGTTAACAGCACCAAAAGCCCTGTATCCGGTAGCGGTATACCGTCGCTATCCTCCCTCTTCGTAAAAACGTGTAATCCCTGATCACATATTTCGTGTAGTAGTTTTAGCTAGGTAGTTAGTAGTAATAAGAAGATAATCGGTTCCTAGACTAGGGCGGTACAGCACTAATCCTACACAATCAACACACGCGGCCCTTCCCTAGTTAAAATGTCATGGGTGGACCGTTTGGCGCGAATTTGTACCCATCTGATATTAATTAAAAGTAAATTACTTTTTTATTATTTCGGCGTGTGTTTTCGTTCTAATGATAGGAAGTGAATTTTCTCAAAATATATTACAATAAATACAAAAGGTTTTTCTGTTTAATTTTTTTGGTCCACATTATACAATACAATTTAATTATACAATTTTTTTTGGTGGGTAGGCGCTCAAAAGTATAGACATATTAAAAGCTGTTCCTCTTTTATTTTTAGTTTTTATAGTAAATATCTATAAATAAGGAGTAAAAATGTACCTGTGATTACAGTGAACCACCAGCCTTCTTTTTTAATAATTTGTTTTACACTGTACAACTTAAAACTTAATTCTGATAAAACACTATTGACCTTTGCCTAACTTCTAAACAACGTTTATTATGGATTTGCTCAAGAAATCAATTGAAGAACTAACAGCAAACTTCACATCACGTATGGATGAGTTCCAGAAGGAAGTTAGAACATCCATTCCTGCAGCAAGTCCTTCTTCCAATATTAATGCACAATTTAGTGCATTTAGAACTTTTGTTCTGTCGGCACTAGAGAATCTGCAGCTGCAACTCCAGCTTCTCTCCAGGCAGCAAGACGAAATGGAGGTAAGGATGCGGAGGAAGATGTTGCTTCTCCATGGGGTGCCAGAAGTCCGCGATGAAAATCCACTTCAGTGCATAAGTAAGGTTCTGTCTGAGCGGCTCAATATGCCTGATATAACTATAGGCTGCTTTTCCAAATGTCACCGCTTGGGGCCTACTAAGAGTGATAAACCTCGTGCATTGTTGGTAAAATTTCGAGATCAAGATCTACGTGACAAAGTCTGGTTCTCTAAGACTAAGCTGAAAGGTAGCGGCGTTACGCTATCTGAGTTCATGACCAAGGCCCGCCATGAAGCATTTGTTGCAGCTCGGAATCGCTTTGGTGTGTCACGGTGTTGGACACGTGATGGGTCTATTGTCATTCTTGGGCGCGATGGCACCCGACATCGAGTGGTCTCCGTCGCGGAGGTAAATGTCATTCCTGATGAAGCTGGAAGTTCCTCAGCAACTTCAACTGCAGTAACTGCGGCGACGGTAGTGGCGGCACCCTCAGCCCCTAAGCCCTCCATCACAGGCAGGGTTCGGAAGCCGATTAAAAAATAATTTTACGTGTGTTGAGAGGTTGTTATTTTGGATTATTTTATTATTTTGGATATTATATTGGATTCTTGTTGGCTTGGTTCTGTTATATAGTATAATTCTTGCACTTATTGTCAAGACAAAACTTCTATTGTAAGTACTATTGTGTATGTTATAATTTACAAATATTAAGATGCAGGTATGTAATAGTAATTTTGTTTGTTTTGCAACTACTTTTGACAGTTCACACTTGCAATGATATCAATTCTCTGACAGCTACCATTGTTGCCAATGTAGTAAAGTATTCATAGATTAAGCGTTTGTTAGTCCGTGGACTTGTCTATGAAAATACTGACTGCAAGTGAATATGTTACAAACGGAAACCTTGCTATATATTTAAACAAAGTAGAATTTAAGTTTTTTTTAATTGTAATATGTAATTTCTTTTTTTATTTTTTTTTTTTTTTTTTTTTTTCACTTTTAGGCAATCTTAAGTTGTTGTTGTACGCTTTCTCTTTCATGGTGCTGGTGGTTATAAATAGCGGGTATAGTAAGTTTTGCATATTATACATTTATATATTAGCTTCTATATATTATAACATATCTATTTTTATATATTATTAATTATAGTATTTATGTTATCCTCAAACATCAGTATCGATAGTGATTTGTTCATGTCATTGTCCTCGCGTGATGAGACACCTAGTGACTCAAGTTTTCACAGTACGACATCAACTTCCCTTCCACTCAATGTTGCCCTAAATACTTGTTTCTCAGACTGTTCGAAAAATTTTAATGCTGTTCACATAAACGCACAAAGTATTCCGGCTCATTATCCTGACATGCTAGCGTCATTTGAATCCCAAAACGTTCACGCCATATTCATTTCTGAATCGTGGTTAAAGCCCTGTCTGCCTTCTGTCTGCTACTCCTTGCCTGGGTTCCATCTTATTCGAAATGACCGCACTGACAGGGGTGGTGGTGGTGTGGCGATCTATCTTAAATCCCACATTCCTTTTAAAATTGTAAGTTCGTCATGTCATCCGCCACCTGCTGACTCTGCTGAGCATTTACTAATAGAGATATCTTCGTCCCAAAATAAAATCTTACTTGGAGTTTTTTATAGCCCATCCCTCTCATTAAATTATTTTTCTTCTCTCGAGTCACTTTTGGAGTCACTAATCCCTAACTACAGTCATACTATTTTAATGGGGGATTTTAATACTTGTTTACTTAAAGGCGACAATCGGGCGAATAAACTCAATTCTATCGTTGAAGCATGTAATATGCATATTCTACCCCTTTCGGCTACCCATAACTTTCCAAACTGTACACCTTCTCTTCTAGACTTGATTATAGTTTCTTCTCCAAATCTAGTTTACAAGCACGGTCAGTACCCTGCCGATGCATTCTCTTACCATGATCTTATCTTTCTTTCGTATAAACTACGCCCTCCTAAAATGAAACCTAAAATACTTCTGCGACGTAATTTTGGAGGAATGGATATTGACCGGCTCTGTGATGACGCTCGTAAAATTGATTGGTCAGTGATAGAGAGTGCACCATGCATTAATTCAAAAGTCGAACTTTTTTGTTCCTTACTGACTCAACTTTTTGATGTACATGCGCCATTACATTATGTTAAGATTAAACACCTGCCTGCTCCTTGGCTCTCTGATGACCTAAAAAAGCAAATTTTAAAGAAAAATGTAGCGTTGTCCAAACTTAAGAGAAACAGAACGGAGGAGAATCAAAGAAAATATGCCAAAATCAGGAATCGCTGTAATACATTAGTTAGAGATGCACAGCGACGCCATATCCATACATCAGTCGAGAACGGCGACTCATCCAGTGTGTGGAAGTTTCTGGAAACGATCGGAGTTGGTAAAAAATCAAATCATTCAACACCTTCAAATATTAATGTTGAACTTTTGAATCAACACTTTTCTACACCTTCTAGCAATTTTGATAATGAACTCAAAGCTAAAACTCTTCAATCTTTCTCTGCAACTCCGACTCCTAATTATCCTCCGTTTGTTTTTAGTCAGTTTACTGTATGTGATGTTAAGAAAAGCATATTGTCCATATCTTCGAATGCTGTCGGTAGTGATGACATTAGCCGTAAGATGATTATACCTCTCCTTGATATTATCACTCCTGTTATCACTTATATATTAAATGAATGTGTCTCTTATTCTAAATTTCCCGATGCTTGGAAAACTGCTCATATTATACCTCTCCCTAAAAAACCTAATCCCGATAATTATTCCGATTTTCGTCCAATTTCGATCTTACCTTTCTTGTCCAAAGTACTTGAAAAGCTCATTTACCAACAGTTGAACCTTTTTCTTAACACTCATAATTTGTTCAATCCCTTACAATCCGGTTTCCGTCCTGGTCATAGTACGGTTACTGCCCTAATTAAAGTTACCGATGACATTCGTTTGGGTATGGACAATAAACAGCTCACAGTTATGACCTTGTTGGATTTCAGCAATGCTTTTAATACAGTTGATTTGGATATTATGTTGAGTCAGCTGGGTTCACTTAATTTATCACCATCAGTAATTGACTGGTTTCAAAGTTATCTCAATGGACGTCGGCAGCGTATTCGCGTTGATGAAACACTTTCATCTTGGTGTGATACTACTGCTGGCGTACCACAAGGCGGCGTGCTGTCACCTTTACTTTTTTCTATTTTCATTAATTCAATCACTCAAAAAATTTCTTCTCTCTACCATATGTATGCGGATGATATCCAGATTTACACCCAGACAACACTTGAGAATCTGCCAGTAGCTATCGCCGTTATGAACAATGACTTAAATCACATACATGAGTGGAGTAAATCACATGGCCTCATTATCAATCCCAATAAATCAAAGGCAATAATTGTTGGCAGCCGGTCCTTCAAATCAAGAATTGACTGGTTATCATTACCGCCAATTAAAATCAATGGAGTGATAATCCCATACTGTGACTATGTCAAAAACTTAGGCATTTATCTCGACAGTACCTTAAGCTGGACACGCCATTTAAATGAAGTTAGTAGGAGAACTTTTGTAGCTCTCAGATCTATGCGTCGCCTTCGATCAATTCTCCCCATTCCAACAAAAATTATGCTTGCACAGACTCTTCTTCTTCCGATTCTCGATTATGCTGACGCTAGCTATGTAGATATAACTGAAGAACAATTAAATAAACTTGAGAGACTCCAAAATACTAGCATTCGGTTCATATTTGGGTTGCGTAAATATGACCATGTTTCTCAATTTCGTAAACGTCTCAAGTGGTTACCCATCCGATTTCGCCGAAATTTACATATTCTTTCTGTTTTGTATGGTGTCTTGTTTCATGGTTGTACTCCACCATATCTAAAGGAGAAATTTGAGTTTGTAGGGCTTCCAGGGGAAGATGTACGTTCTTCGAAGAAGCTCATTTTAAGGGTGCCAAATTACAAAACGTCGTTTTATGAAAAATCTTTTACCGTGCAGGCTATTAAGCTCTGGAATTCCTTGCCTTTAGTTTTACGTGAGGCGCAATCTATTGGCACTTTTAAGAAGTTAGTAAGAGAGCACTACCTGTCACAATCACCTGAGTAATATTGGGATTAAATACTATTCATGTTTGAGGTCTAGTATATATGTGTGTATGTATATATATGTATAGTATTTGTATATAGTATATATATGTATTTTTGTGTATATATGGATATGTATATATAAATGTATGTATCTGCTTTAATAATTTTATTAAAGCAGATACATATAATTTCTATTGCACCACCTACGTAGTATACGTTTCCTTTAAGCCATTGGTTGCCTGGAAGAGATCGCTATGAAGCGATAAGGCCGCCAAATTGTACATTGCATAAATTTGTTGTTCTATTGTTACTTTTATGTATATTGTTATTTGTGGTGGACAATAAAAGTGTATTCATTCATTCATTCATTCATACAATACCTCGAAATATTTATATGCGACTCAAAATACCTAGGCATCAACAATCGGAATTGTTACGAGCCGGTGATAATTATTATTGGCCGACAAATCTTCACTTAAGGAACCGTTACTTGTGATTTGTTGCAGTGAAAACATTCGTTCCCTCATTTGCATACAATAGCCCGGTGCCAAAAAATATTGGAGTGTAAACGCTCACCATGGATGTATATATGAAAGTTCTTAGCATATCTAAACGTGTTTCGAGTTAACATACGCCACCGATGTATATTGCATTTTATTGTGTTACATCTTTATTAAAGTGATTGAACAAAATAACACGCTTAAACAATAAATTGCAATACCTACGAGTAGGAATGAACTTCGAATTGTGTTCTTTGCTGTTCATATGCAAATCACAATTTTTTTCAGCTATAGGTACTTACATATTCTTATAATTCCAACTATTCTTAATTACTTAAATGAATGTAACACGTAACGTAACGACTACCTTTGATTTTATCTGCACCTGAAGAAAACTGATAAATTTCTCTCTTTTTAACAGTTTATCTGTCGTTACTATGTTGACTTTGTGGCATATGTTGGTAAAGATTTTTATGGAAACTGTTAAGACTGAACTTTCACCTAATTGTTTATGTCTTTGTAAATATTTTAAATGGCTATAAAAATTTTGTGAAATCGCTTATCTTTCTCAAATAATAAAAATGTATTAACGACTAACATGAGTTTTATTCGCAATTTAAATTATGTATATAAAGTAAAACGTTTGACCGCTATTAAATTATTTTTAGAGTACGTGCATTCTTAACGGAGTAATATTACTTAAAGGTGCATCAAAAAATATGACCTTCTTTATTAATTATTCACAAAGAAATGTTTGGAAAGTATCTGATATCTTCTATTTTAATTTTCTTCTATATGTAATAATAAAACAAAATATTATAGTCTCAGAATTACGAAACTGAACATTTCAAACACTTCTTATCCTGCTATCATAAATAATCACAAATGTATACGACACTCGTAAGCTGTAAAGTAGAATTCCGTTGATTAAAAAGCAA